CTGGTTTTTTATCCAGGATTAAATCCTAATTCTGTTGGTCTGGGGCGTCCATTTCCTAATTTTTAAAATGAAGCTGTTTCTCTAGGTGACGTTCTAACTTTTTTTCCTTCTGTGGACCCTTTGGCAGGCTGGTAAATTCTAGATAGATCCATTAGCAGAAATAATGTTTGAAAATGCTTAAATAAAAATACATACAATTACAAAGGAAACCAATTATATCAAAATGAATATATCCAAGAACTTAAAAAACACAAATTTATATTTTTAGTTAAATATAAACTTTAAAAAATTAACCTAGTAAGCAACAAATTCAAGAATGTGCATAATAACTGCCATCTTTTCAAAACAGTGATGAGTTTAATGGATATTTCAAGGTGTCTGCAACAACTGAAATGGGATATGAAAACATCTGATTTCTATTGATTGCAACCAATGTACTGCCACTCCCACTATGGTTTGTAGCCTAATTCATGTTTGAAAGGAATGCTAAACATCAGTTGGAATGTTAATGAAAACAAAGATGTAATTTTTTTGCAACGCAAGTTCACAGATCGCCCGAGTTCTTTCTGTGGGCCTCAGCATAAGAATCCCTGGGCTTTAGGTTTTCCTGGTTTTGTTTTTGCTTTTTCCAGTGTCAAGATGCGATGCTATCTCTATGATTCCTCCCCTGCTTCCATGCCCACACCACCCAGGATCATATTTGTACAGTTATAGGAGCCATAGCGGCACAGTGGTTAAGCGCTTAAGCGCTTGGCTGCTAACCCAAAGGTTGGCAGTTTGAACCCACCAGCTGCTCTGTGGGAGAAAAATGTTGCTCTCTGCTTCCGTAAAGATTTACAGCCTTGGAAACCCTATGGGGCAGTTCTACTCTGTCCTAGAGGGTCACTATGAGTTGAAATAGACTGGAAGGCAACAGATTTGGTTTTGTTTTTTTTTTAAAGCTAAAATCAGTGTAACAAAATTTTGTGAAACTACCTCCAGTTGATCAAACTCAAACATACTTCTCTATCATTAGAAGTTAAAAACGTAACTTTTCACTGGTTTTTAGAAAATATTCTAAAACAAAAAGGAACCATCTAAGAATGGTTACAATGAGAAATCATTTCTGCGAATACCGTAGGCATTGTTATCACAGTTGAAACCTTACTCTACTGTGAAAACCAGGAAAACTAGTGAGGTAAATTATTCCTGCACAATCGTAGTTACAGGGCTAGTATTGAAATGAAAATAAAATGATTTAATTTTATTATAATGTGTAGAAAGTGGTGCTTTGATCTTCAGTGTTATGCTTTTCTTGCTGTGCAAATAATTAATCAACTCAGCTTTCCTATGTACATGGAGTGAATACTTATGTGAGAAGGAAAGCAGAATGTGGGAAAAATAAAACTTTTGAATTCTTAAACATTGTTTAAATACTTTAGCAACTTGTCAACATATCTTGGCATAGCTATTTGACTAATGCAAATGTTGATTTAATTTCTTTATATTTCACTTAAATGATTGTTTATTATGAATTTTTGCCTTTCCATTTAAAAGAACGCACAGCCTTTGGATTGAGACAGCAGTTTTATTTCAGGCCTTCAACAGACTTGTGGTGTGAAATTAAACGACTGACATAATCACAGTCTTTGCCTGAACTTGCTCATTTTATGAAGTGGAATAAAAACACTTGTTATCAAACATTAA